TTTTTAATTCCTCCCTCTCTGTCTGTCGTGGTTTAATGTGGCAGCCAACAACTAAGCACTAGAGAGCTGCTCGCTCACACTCCCCACCCTTCCCAGTGGGATGGGGAGGAGAAATGGACAAAAGGTAAAGCTTGGCGGTTGAGATAAAAGAAGTTTAAGAAGACAACAAAGGAAATACTACTAATAATACTAATACTTCTACTACTACTAGCAACAATAATAATGAATATGTAAACCAAACTATATACAATGTAATTTTTCTCACCACCTGACAACCGATTCACAGCCAGTCCCCAAGCAGCTATCACAGAACCTTGAACCTGGAAACTGTGAATTCCCAAAATAGTCTGACCTCCCAGCCAAGAGAGGATTCCAACTCATGGAAACGAGAAGAGCCAATTCTGGCCCATTCATAATCTGAGTTTTAAGACTCCCACAAGCATTTTCTTTCAGGTGGAGGAGAGATAAACAATTGGAATTATGGAAGAAGAAGGGAAGAGATAAGGAGAGACAAGCATCTGAAGCGTCATAGTCTCCCGGCAGCACTGAGAGCGAGAGCTGCAGTGAGTCCTGGGCCCTCAGGGCCCTGTTACCCCTCTTCTGCATCCCAGTCCCTCCCCTGGCTCGCTCTCTTTCCCACACTGCTACAATTATTTTTTTTTTCTGCTCTTGTGTACCTTCTTTCTCCATCTCTCTCTGACTTGTCCCTATCTTTTAGGTCCTCCCTCTTTCTGCCCTGCAGCCCGTGGCATTTTTTCCCTTCTTCCCCTCTTTCTGTTCGGCTCTCGGTTACTAGTATTGCTTTCCTCCTTCTCTGTCCCGTAGCCTGTTAGTATTTTTGCTTTGGCGCTCTCTGTCTGGCTCCTTGTCCCTTGATTCTAGGCCTTCCTTCTCGACTCCGTATCACGTCACAGACCTACTGCTTTCTCCATGTCTGTTCTATTCTATTTCCTCATCTCTCTTCATCCAGGTCCCTGCCTCTATTCTTTGTTCCTCTGTCATGCTGCAGGTTTTTTTTTTTTATCTCCTTCCTGCTCCCCCTTCTTCATTTTCGGTCTCTGTCCTGCCCCCTCTTCTTCTTTCTGCTGCCGCTCTTGCTCTCTTGCTGCTGCTTCTTTCTCCGTCTCTGTGGGACTGCCTGTCCCCGTCCTTCTCTCGCCGTCCCTT